GTGTGTGTGTGTGTGTCGTTGTGCGTGTGAGAATATTTAGTATGTGAGCTCATATATATATATATATATATATATATATAGGTTCAATGTAAAACTTAGTCTACTATTTATAACATATGGTCAATGTTATCCTATACATTTGTTTAGTGTCTGTTTGTGTAAGAGTACATATATAACGTACGTTTCTTATCCAGAACGGAGTGGTTGAAATTTGTACAAGCTCATTTGACCACAAACATGATTCCGTAGTCAAAGGCGACCATTATATTCAATTGGTCCGATTTCTTTTTCTTCTCAAGGTCGTAAGTGCTATCTATGGCGAGGATTGGTCTGTCGTGGACAGCCATACGTTTGCTTACAGCTTAGCACCGCGTCCCGAAGGTATCAGTGTTTGTTCTGTTGTGTGTATCTTCTCCTTTGCGAACCTGTGGCATTCCGTAGGGTTTTAGGTGCTGAGTCAACAATCCAACAGGCCGCTGAATGTACCAACACGCAGATGTACTTTATAGGATCACATACACTGACAGAAAATTCAAACTCACACATATATGTTGGCACTGAGCTGCCCACTGGAAATTGTACGCGTATACATGTGACATGTGCATACACAGACCGTCTTGGCAGAGAATCATACTTGTGAACGTGTATATAATATGTATGAACGCATATAATACTTATACACGCATATAATACTTATGAACGCAAATGTAGCATGTATTAACGCATATGTATTACATATGAACGCACATATACTAATCAAGACGTGTTTTACACATATATATATATGGCATATGCATCCACAGATAAATTGGCAGAGAATCATACTTATGAACGCATATGTAGTACTTATGAACGCATATATAATACTTCTGAACTCATATATACTAATCAAAGCGTGTTGTACACAAATTTCTGCATACACACGTGCGCATTGATATGTGTATAGACAGTCCATTGGAATGGTTTTTTATATGTATGTATTGTATCCCTCCGCTTCGCTCCCTTGGTGTCAGTGAATTGATCATGGCAGCCCTAGCAGTGTGCATTCGCACCAAACATTCACTCATCGCCGGAATAGTATCGCTTTCGGAACTCGTCTCTACATAACATTCGCTTGTGCCAGCCCCAGCTGCACCTTTCAGTGACTTACCGTGGGGATAGGTTTTTTAGACGCACTCACTTCAATACACAACCTCGCCACCCGGTTCTTGCCCCTATAAGTGCATTGCATGTGTAAGTGTTTTGTCCTTTTATGACGCTCTTCAAGACACCAACATCCTTGTGTGCACCTGCATCTCCATGCATACAGGTATAGATGAAGAGATTATCGACACATTGGCTTTGGACAACCTCACCATCCGCTTCTCCTTGCTTGACGACTACCCTGTGGCCAGTTCTCCGCTGTATCAGTTCGAAGGCGGCAGAGGCTGGTGGGACATCGTTGTGCGCGAGTTTTCATTTCCAGGTACGTTGATTGTGTGTGTAGGTCAGTGTGCGTCTGGTTTGCACAAAGGAGCACTATTTGTTGATTACCTTCATGAGCCATATCATTGTGAAGGCAAAGTCTTACTCCCTTTCGGCCAGGGTTGTACGGTGGTTCTCTGAGGTGGTGTGCGATTGAGACATGCTACGCAACAAGGAGTTGATGTTCGGTTCAGTCGGATGATGTATATATAT